TGGGGTGTGACGTGACATGCGTGGCCAAGCAGGAGGTGTTGCCACCTGCGCAAGTGTCGCCACGTTCGTGGTCTCCTTGGAGGCTCAGCGCAGCAGTGTCGCTCTCGCCCGCATCCAGGCTGTAGGCCTCGCGGCTCCCTGGGGGTGCTACCACCTGCGCAATTGTTGGTTGCCACTTTCGTGGGCTCCTTGGATGCCCAACGCAGTGACATCACATCCGCATCAAGGCTACCCAGCCTCCTGCGGCAAACCCAGCCACCGTGCAGTAGCGCTGTAGGGAGGAGGCTGAGGAGGAGGAGGAGGAGGAGGCGGGCCACTCTAAACCCTTCCTTCAAGTTCCGTCTTCATAGGTCCCTACAACATTCTACTTTCGTTGTCCAGAAGTGGCCCATCGGACGACAACCGTCTGAAACTCCTCAATCGTGAGAGTGCTGCGGATCAAGGTGATTGCTATGTATTGACCAAGGTTAAGTCGTGTCATAATGCAGTTCCTGTGACTTCAATACCGCGAATCAACGTGACTGCTGCGTCCTGACAATCCTAAACCATACCAGGACCACAACTTACTTCTGGGACTTCAGCCACACGTATCCTTGAAGCTGGTGCAATCTTTGAGACGGCTGTGAGCAGCACAGGCGAGAGCCACCTTTTGGAAAGAAACCGCCCTCTACCCGTAAGCTGCTGCATAAATCAAACACGAAAGTACGTGGCACTTAAACGCGAGAACCGCACTTTGAAATCTACTCGCGCTCCGTCCGTGAAACTGCTGCAAGCGTTTAAAACGAATATGTGCGGCGCGAGCGCGAATGCGAACGGAAGATTTTGAAAGGAAACCACGACGCTAAGGTGAGAGCCACATTTCGAACACCGCCTTCACGCTTGAGGATATTACGTGGTGAGGACGTCTCAGGCGAAACGCCCGGCAGGCCCCACCGACACGTCTAGGGGTGTGACCGGGGGGAGTTAGATATAAGGAAAAGGGATGGCGGAGGAGGAGGAGGAGGAGGAGGAGGAGGACAAAGAGGAGAATGAGGAGAGCGAGATCATGCAAACCAGGAGGATAAGGTCTCGTAAGGGGCACTCATCGGGCCTGGAAGCTTCCTGGGGGCCCCTTGGGGCCTCTTGGGGGCCTCTTGGGCGCGACTTGGGCCCCCTTGGGCCATCTTAGGAGGGCTCTTGGCCCGCCTGACACCTTCGGAGGCAGTCTTGGAGGCACCTCTCGGCCGTCTTGGAGCGCTTTAGGGCTGTCTTGAGACAGGCGATCTTGGGGTGTCTTGGAGCTCCTTGGAAGCCTCTTGGGCCGCCTTGGGCGGTGGGAAACCCAACCCGGCGAGAACCTCAGAATCCTTCAAACACCAGTGGAAGGATTGTTTTTCGCCTTTTTGGGCGCTCCCAGGGGGCCTCTTGGCGCCGTCTTGGGCCGTATTGGAAGCATTTCGAGTCGTCTTGAGGACGTTTAGAAGCCTCTTATGCATTTGTCGGCCACTCCAGGCCGTCCTGGTGCCGTCTTGGTAGTTTCGGAAACCGTCTTTGGGTCATCTTGAGGCCGAATGGAGCGCTGGAGAGCAAATTCGGAGGGGGTCATTTTTCGAGGGACGCGTGCGGCAAGGGGGAGGGGTCGGTCATAGAGAACATAAACAGCCTTCAGACAACAAGACGACCATTCTAACACGCCAAGTCCATGCAGGCAGTGGCGTGTAGACCTCGCGGCTCCCTGGGGGTGTTGCCACCTGGGCAACTCTCGCCACATTCGTGGGGTCCCTGGATGCGCAACGCAGGGACACCATACTGGTATCCGGGCTATAGACACCGTGGATCCCTGGAGGTGTTGCCATTTGCCAAGCTGTCGCCACTTTCGTGGGCTCCTTGGATGCCCAGCGCAGTGGTGCCATACCCGCATCCAGGCTACAGACCTCGCGGCTCCCTGGGATTGCTGCCACCTGCGCAGTCGTCGCAATTTTCGTGGGCTCCTTGGAGTTTCAGTGCAGTGGTGTCACACCCGCATCCAGGCTAGAGGCATCACGGCTCCCGGAGTGTGCTGCCACCTGCGTTGCCGTTGCCACGTCTGTGGGCTCCAGGGAGGCCCACCGCAGCGGTGCCACACCTGGCTCCAGGCAGTAGACGTCGCTGCTCCCTGGGCGTTGTTGCCACCTGCGCAACCGTCGCCATGTTCGTGGGATCCTGCGTAGGAGATGCAGCGCGTGAGCGCATCCAGACCAGGCCTTGCGGCCCTGGCGGCGCGGCCACCCGCGCAACTGCCTTCACGTTCGTGGGCTCCTGAAGGCCCAACGCAGTGGTGCCACATCCGCATTCAGGCTACAGACGTCGCGACTCACCGGGCGTGCTGCCACTTGTGCGATTGTCGCCACGCTCGCGGGCTCCTGTGGACCTTCGGGGCCTAGCGCAGCGGTTGCGACGGGGTGCTGTCACCTGCACAGTTGTTGCCATTTTCGTGTGTTCCTGGGAGGTCCACCGCAGTGGTGTCATACCCGCATCCAGGCTTTAGTCATCGCGGCTCCATGGGGATGCTGTCACCTGCATATCTGTCGCCATTTCGGCGGGCGCCTGGGAAACACAGCGCAGTGGTGTCGCACGTGCATCCAGACTAGACCTCGCGGTTCCCTTGGGGTGCTGCCGCCTGCGCAGTTGTTTCCGTGTAAGCCCATCGCAGCGGCGTCATACGCGTATTTGGACCAGACCTCGCGGCTCCCTGGGGTGTGTCTTCCTTCTTGCGCTGTTGACTTTATTTCCGTGGGCTCACTGGAGGGGAGGCCCAGCGCAGCGGTGTAACACCCACATCCACGCTAGACCTCGCGGCCCCTTCGGTGTGCTACCACCTGCGCAGCGGCCCATTGCAATGGTGTCGCACCCGCATCCAGGCTATAGACCTCGCGACTCCTTCGGAGTGCTGTCATCTGCGCAGTTGTCGCCAGTTTCGCGGCGTCCTTGGAAGCCCAGCACGGTGATGTCATACGCGTCTCCAGACTAGACCTCGCGGCTCCCAAGGGGTGCTGCCACTTGCGCTGCCGTCGCCACGTCCGTGGGCTTCTGGGAAGCTCAGCGCAGTGGTGTCACACCCGCATCCAGGCTAGAGGCCTCGCGGCTCCCTGGGGATGCTGCCACCTGCGCAACTGTTGCCACGTTCGTGGGCTCCTGGGAGGCTACAGGCCATCGCGGGTTCCTGCGTGTGCTGCCACCTGCACAGCTGTATTTTTTGGATGGGTTTTTGGGGCGGCCCACTGCCAACAGCATTGTTGTCAGAATTACGCGCATCCGCATTAGTCCCCGCGGTTCCTTGCTGGTGCTGTCACCTGCGCAGGCACCGCAGTGGTGTCACACTCGCATCCAGGCCATCGGCTCCCTGGGGGTGCTGCTACCTGCGCAATTGTTGCGATTGTCTTGGGCTCCTGGGAGGCACAACGCAGCAGTGTCACACGCGCATCCAGACTAACCTCGCGGTTCCAGTGGGGTGTTGCGACCTGCCAAGTTGTCGCCGCTTTCGTGAGCTCCTGGGAGGTTCAGCGCAGTGGTGTCGTAGGCGCATTCAGGCTAGACCAAACTGTTCCCTGGGGGTATTGTTATCTGCGCAAGTTTCGCCACTTTTGCGGGATCTTGCGGCGCCAAACGCGGTTGTGCCACGACCGCATCCAGGCTAATTAGACCTCGCAGCTCAAAGGGTGTGCTGCCACCCGTGCAATTGTCGCCACCTTGCTATACCTCGTGGCCCTTGAGGGGTGCTGCAATTGGCGCGACTGTCGCAACTTTTGAGGGCTCCTGGTGTCACACCCGCATCCAGGCTATAGACCTCGCGGTTCCCTGGGGATGCTGTTATTTGCGCAGTTGCCATTTTTTTTGTGGGGTCCTTGAAACTTAGCCCAGTTTTGTCATACGCGCATCCAGACTAGACCTCGCGGCTTCCAAAGAGTGCTGCCACTTGCGCTACCGTCGCCATGTCCGTGGGCTTCTGGGAGACGTACCGCAGTGGTGTTTCGTGGGCCCCCCGTGAGGCCCACCGCAGTGGTGTCAAACTCTTCTCTAGGCCTGACCACGCGACTCCTGGGGGCTGCTATCACCTGCGCAACTGCAACCACATTCGCTGGGTCCTTGGAGGTCCACCGCAGTGGCGTCGCACCTGCATCCAGGCTATAGACCTCGCGGCGCCTCCAGGCTGTAGACCTCGCGGCGCCCTGGCTGTGCTGTCGCCTGCGCAACCGTTGCCTCTTTCGTCGGCTCCTGGGAGGCCCAGTGCAGTGGTGTCGTGCGCGCCTCTGGACTAGACCTCGCTGCTCCCTGGGGGTGCCGCCATTTGCGCAACTCTCGCAACCTGCGTGGGCTCCTGGGAGGCCCACCGCATTGGTGTCACACCCGCATCTAGGCTACAGACCTCGCGGTGCTGCCACCTGCGCAGCTGTCGCCACTTCTGTTGGGTCGTTTGAGGCCGAGCGCGGTGGTGTTACACGCGCCTCAGGCTCGACCTCGCGGTCCCTTGGGGTGCTGCCACCTGCGCCACGTGCTCACGGCCACGGTGGGCTCTCGGTATGCAGATCTCGCACTTTTGGCTTTTCTTTGCTGCCCTTGCCGAGCCACGACGGGGTGCCGGGCTAGCGTACAGGATCCTGCAGGATTCTGCAGCATCCTGCAGGATCCTGCAAGGCCTGATTGACCCGGGTTTGGATTGACCCAGGTCAGCAGATCCCCGATTCCTTGCGGCATTCTTCGAGCCAGGTCGAGGGCCCAGGGGCCCGAGACCAAGCAAACAAAAGCCCGGCGTGAGAAAGTTGCAACGCCCGGATCTCAGAGTTTTCGCCTGCAGGAGGAGTGCTCTCTCTCTCTCTCTCTCTTCAGCCTCTGCGGCTCTGGCGCGTACTGCCGCCTCGGCCACTGGCTGTGCCGAGGATCGGGGCTTCGACTCGGCGCCGGTGGAGGATGCGGACGAGCTGCTGCCCTTCGGCCTCGAGTGGGAGAAGGGCGCCTCCCTGACCACGCCGGGCATGAAAGAGGCGCGCCCCTCTACCTTCATCTACCTCGAGCTCCCCCCCTTCTCCTCCTCCTCCTCCTCCTCCTCCTCCTCCTCCTCCTCCAGCTGCCATCTGGGCCTAAGAGATTGTCAGGGCAGCGCGCTCTCACACCCAGCCATTCCACAGCATGTGGAGGAACGCGTGACTGGGCGGAGGCCCGCATGGCAACAACGGCATGGTTCGGCAAGGACAGGTTCTCTCGCGTGCCGCCCGCAGGTGCGACCCAAGAATGCTTCCGCCCGACGTCAAGCCAGCTACGACGACTCCGTGCCCGGTGCACGCATGCCAGGAGGTCGCAACAAACGTCTCTGGACATTCTTCGCCTACTCCAAATGGGACCGCCACCTGGACTCGGACGCGATCCAGCTCTCCCCGACCCAGTGCGGCAGGACCAAGGGGAGCAGAGCACGAAGGACACCACGACGCACGAGAAGCAGCTGAACTCGGACAACCAGAACGGGACGCTGCGCAACACGGACACCCCCACGAAGTACTTCGCAGACGCCAAGACGAACGAGAAGCCGCAGAACTTCGCTAACCAGGACGGGCTGCCGAGCAACCAGGCCACCAGGAACTACGAGGGGCAACTGAGCCTCGCCCGCGACAGGGTGGACCACGAGGACGTGAAGCACTGCCTGGAGATGCTCGCGGAGACCGCCGAGAAGAGGGACGACTACACGAAGACCGCCACCACGACCTACGAGGAGCAGCCGAGCTTCGCAGACCAGGAGAAGGAGCGGAGCAAGAAGGACACCACGACGCACGAGAAGCAGCCGAACTACGACGACCAGGACACGCCGCTGGACAAGCAGGGGCGCGAAGATAAAAAGGACTGCGCTGCGACGCTGGACAAGCGGCAATGCGAAGATAATCGAGACGCCTCCTACACTTACCAGGCGGAGGCGCCGGACACCCCGAACACAGAGAACTGGCACTATGACGACCAGGACGGGGACGAGATCCCGAACGGGTTCCCAGACCTCGTATACGACATCGTGGCGATGCGCATGGCGGAGGGCTACGCAGTCAAGGAGTCGTGGCTGCACGCCAGGCTCGACGAGTGGCTCGAGGAGACAGTCACGGCGTGGACCAACATCCGAGTCTTCGAGAAAAACGGCGACGGACACATCGTGAGAATGATCGGGCCACACGGAGTAATGCAGGGAGACGTGGACAGCGAAGATGAGAAACAGAGCGAAGCCGAGAGCACGAGCGACACAGGGAGTCCAGGCGGAGTGAGGCCAAACCTCGATACGTGGTCGCTCTCCTCCACCCGCTCCTCCTCTCCCTCGCAACGAGGCAAGCAACCGCAAGCGGGCAGCAGGCGAGATAGCACCCGTGAGGGCGGGTGCTACCCCGCCCAGAGGCCCCCGCGTGGGGCGAACGGTGCGGGAAGGGCCCGAGTGTCTCCTGGCACCTGCTCCCCCAGTCAATAAAGTGACCACAGCTAGGCCTTTTTAGATACGCAGCTACTCTGTGCTAGCAAGAGCGTCAGACACTCAGACATCGGCCCGATAGCTCGATCGATCGATCCTCCTCCTCCTCCTCCTCCTCCTCCTCCTCCTCCTCCTCCTCCTCCTCCCCCTCCATCTCCTGTTCCTTACCAACAACTCCTCCCTGTAGCGCCCCGAGGCGCGCCCCCCGTCGGGGGGTGCCAACTGCGCACCTTCACCGATCCCGGCAAGTCCAAGTCTTGGGGTCGGTGTCTTTGCAGGCCTGGCCGAGCAAGGAGGCCGCATGCTCCGACCCTGGGCCCAGGATGGGCATGGACAGGATCGGAGTTGGTGCATTGTTGGCGTCCTCCTACTCCGGTGCTCGGAGGCTCAGACGGGGGCCAGCCGGCTGGAACCTTTCTTCCTCCTCCTCCTCTTTCTTCTCCTCCTCCTCCTCTTTCATCTACCTCGAGCTCCCCCTCTCCTCCTCCTCCTCCTCCTCCTCCTCCTCTTCCTCCTCCTCCTCCTTGTCCTCCTCCTGCTCCTCCTCCTCCTCCTCCTGCTCCTCCTCCTCCTCATCCTCCTCCCCCTTCTCCCACTGCATCTCCTCTTCCTCCTCTTTCCCTTGCTCCTCATATTCCTCCTCCTCCTTTTCCTTTTTCTCCTCCTTCATAATGATTATGTTCCTTATACCAGCTTCCTGTCGCACCCCGAGGCCAGAAGGGCGGGCTGGACATTTCGCTTGAGACTTCTCGCTCCGGACCTCCCATCTCTTGGGATAATCAGATATGACTTAAAACTTGGCAGCAGTTTCAGAGATGGATGGTGGGTCGCTTCTAAAATGTGGCTCTCGTCATAGCGCCGCGCACATCCGGCTCAACACATTGCTGGAGTTTCACGGGTTGAGGGCGAATCGTTTTCAAATGTGGATCTCGCCCTAGCGCTGCGTATATTCGTTTTTAAACATTTGCAAGAGTTTCACGGATCCGGGGTGGTTCCTTTTCAACGTGCTTTCCGCGTTTGTTCCGCGCATATTCGCCTTACACGTTTGCAAGAGTTTCACGGATTGAGGGTGGTCTCTTTTCAACATGGGGCTCTCGCTTTAGCGCAGGGTTTTCATCTATTGAGGGCGGGTCGTTTTCATAATGTGGCTCCTCTCGCTTCAGCGCCGCGCGCATTCGTTCTAAAATGTTGTAAGGGTTTCTCGGACTGAGGGTGTTTTTGGTTAGCAATGTGGTTATCCCTGCAGCGCCGCGCACATGAGTCTTAAACGTTTGTAAGAGTTGCACGGGCTCCCATGGCTAACGTATCAGAAATGACGTTCTGGAACATTTTGACATGGTCAGGGTGCAACCGTTATTTTGATTCGCGGCGTTGAAGTTCCATGATCGGTGTTCTGGCACGATTCAGGATCGCAGAGACGCAACGGTAACGGTGATTCGCGGCGTTGAAGTCCCAGGATTGTTGTTCTGGTACAGTTTAGGATTCCCAATCGGTTTTTGTTCCAACAGGGCGTTTCTTTTAATGAAGATGAATCCTTGTTAGAGCCAAAGAAGAGGGAGCTTGGAGGGAGGGTTTATTTTCTTGCAAAGGGTGTCTAGGGCTCCGACCACTTTATTCCGCGTCGCCCCCCCCCCCCCCCCGCGTCCCCAACGCCAGAGTGGGATCCCCGCGCCGTGGCTCTCTGCCCTGAGCCCCCCCGCGTCCCCAGCGCCCCAGCGGGAGCCCCGCCCACTGCCCCCTCCGCCACGAACGCTTTATTCCGCGTCGCACCCCCCCCCCGTGTCCCCAGCGCCAGAGTGGGACCCCACCGCGCCGTGGCTCTCTGCCCCGAGCCCCCCCGCGTCCCCAGCGCCCCAGCGGGAACTCCGCCCACTGCCCCCTCCGCTCCGACCATTTTATTCAGCGTCGCGACGCACACGGCCTCCCCCACCTCCCTCCCCGCGTCCCCAGCGCCCCAGTGGGGGCTCCGCCCCGTGCCCTTTTCCGCCCCGACAAGTTTATTCCGCGTCGCGACGCACACCACCTCCCCCCTTCCCCCCCCCGTCCCCAGCGCTCCAGTTGGACCCCCGCCCCGTGGCCCTCTGCTTCAAACCCCGCCCAGTGCCCCCTCCGCTCCGGCCATTTTATTCCGCGTCGCGACGCACACACCCCCCCCCCTCCTCTCCGCGCCCCCAGCGCCCCAGTGGGACCTCCGCCCCGTGCCCCCTCCGCTCCGAGCACTTTATTCCGCGTCGCGACGCACGCCACCTCCCCCCCTTGGGCCCAGTTGCTGGGCCCCGAGGGGCGATGTCTTGCCCCCTCTTCCCCCCTCTTCCTCCACCTCCTCCTCCTCCTCCCCCTTCCTTTCTGTGCGAGAACCATGGCACACGTGCCACTTGTGACAACATCGTGGGCCTTGGCTTCACACTGTTCATCCTCCTCATCCTCCTTTTTTTTCTCCCTCGCCCCCTCAAGCCGTTCTGGCTCAGGCCTTCGGCCTAAAATTGCAACCGCGAACTTCAAAGCGGCGTTGTTGTTGCGGGCCTTCTTTTCGGCACGGCGACAGGCCGAGGGGCCTCACCCGTCATTTCGCTCGGCCGCGAATGGTTCCAGCCCCATCGGGTGATGGCGCCGAGTTCCCATGGCGCACGGGGCGTCCGTTCCAGCGGAAAAGTACATGGACATGCTCGGGCGAAGAGAATTATGCACATGCACCGGTCCTGACAAAACCCATCCTTGACCCAGGATCGGTGCATATGCCTTCCTGGCCAAGGTGGGAGGGCGTATGCACCGATCCTGGGTTCAGGATGGGCCTGGTCAGAATCGGTGTATGTGCATAGTTTTCTTTCCTCTGCATGCAGTGCGTGCGGATGCGCCAGGAGCAAGATGGTGAGCTACGTCCTGCAAGCCTTGTGGCACAGCCTGGTCGGGGCCTCCGGCGGTGCCTGACCCTGCTCCTATTGGCGGCGTGTGGGCTCGAGGTCCTCCTGCTTCGGGTGAGGTCGTACCAGCTCATGCCAGTCTTGCAGACGAGTTCCAGCTCCATCCGCTTACAAGGGTGGCATCACGGGCGGCCAGTCGGAGTCCAAGGGCAAGGGCGAGGGCGAGGGCAAGGCTGTGGGAGCGACCTGGAATCCTCCAGGTTACCTCTACCCGCCTGCCCAGCCTTCTGGCCCGCTGGGCGGAGCTGTGCCTCCTGGGCCCGCTCCGCCAGCTGGCCACCCGTTCATCACCGAGCTGGAGACCTTCGTCGAGCTTCACAAACAGGTTGGCAACACGACAGAGGCTTACCGACAACAGTCGGCGCTGAAAGCTCCTGCGAAATCTGAGCAATCTTTGGAAGAACATCTGGCTCGGGTTCAGCTTGGACGAGTCAAATTGGGGAAGGTGATGCACTGCGAGTTCCAGCAGCTCGACTCCTACCGAAGCAAGGTCGCAGCCCAGGAGACGCTCATCGTGCAGCTTAACATGGAGATGGAGGGCCTCGACCTGGCGCGCGACGAGCTGTCGGAGAAGGTCTCGGCGCGCAGGGGGCTGAGGGCAGACCTGTCCATCGCCTCGGCCACG